TGAGGGTCGCTGGAGGGGTGGGGGGTGGGAGGGATGGGGTGGCTGGGTGATGGACACTGGGGAGGGTATGTGCTATGGTGAGCGCTGTGAATTGTGTAAGACTGATGAATCACAGGCCTGTACCCCTGAAACAAATAATACATTGTATGTTAATTTTTAAAAAAAGACAAAAAAATAACAAAAAAAAAGAAGAAGAGGAAAAGTGGCTGTTGAATTTCCTCACACGTGTGCTGATCCATGGCTGGCCTGTCTTGTCTACGAGTTCAAGTGGGATCAGCCTTGGCCAGGCAGAGCTGAGGGGCTTGCTTTCGCACGGCCAGTAACATCGGCTTCTTCTGACCCTGAATATTGCCTCATCCATGTTGCCTTTCATGTGTGTTATCTGGGAGTCCTGTCTGCACAGAGTTCTGTTAGAGCCGCATGTATCACCATGCTGTTTTCCCCAAGTCTATGTGATCTGTGAAGGGGTATTTCCCTGGATGGTGAGATGGGGGGGAGGGGTATCCTGGAACGCAGTATTAATTGAGCCCGGTGTTCTCTATCTTGGGAGAGTGCTCCTTGCCGTGGGTTTTTGGTGGGGCCACGTCTATAATCTTTACATCAGGCTCCACCTGCCTTAATATAGGGTTTCCATGTGAGGATTGTTTCGTCAGATTACTATTTCTCAGAGTAGGATGGTGATAAGAGAGACGGCAGGTTTCTCACCAGCTTAATTTTTCTTGCTTCCCTCCTTCCCCAGAGATGATCTGGTCTAGAGACCGGGACTAGTTGAAGGATTTGCTTTTCCCCATCCCTGAGGCCCTTTTTGCCTTGGAAACTCCATGGCTTTAGGAAATGCATGCTTGGGACTGATCCTATACCTGTTAGAATTCTAGGGTTTCCTACATGAGCAAGTTGAGCCAATGAGTATTATGTACTCAGGGGAAGTCGTAGGAGGTGTCCCTTGTGCACAGGGGACTTTCATGGCCTTGCCTTAGAGGGAGAATAGCATGCTTGAAGACCTCTCGAGTCCCGTGGCGGTGGGGGGGGGGGGGCTGTTGATGCTGTGCATTTAGGTGCAGACAAGTGGGGTCCAGAGAGTTAGAAAGGGCTTCCTAAAAGAAATTGGGCCTGCTTTGGCCTTGGAAGACAGCACGTTTGGAAGGTGGCAAAGAACTGAGGCAGGAAGATACTGACATTGGCCGAGGAGAAGGGTGCTTTTGCATCCTGGCATTGTGGGCCGTGGCTGAAGATGCTGGGTGCCCACATCTGAGGATGTCCCCTCAGTGGGTGCTGAGTTGCTCTTTTACTGGAGAGCCAAATAATGTATTAGTAGCGTGTTACTTTGAACCTACAGTCAGGATCCAGGACAGAAATGAAAAAGACTTTAGGCTCTGGATTGATGTAGACCTCAGACTCCCATGCCACAGTGGGTGTCACTTAGCTGGAGCAGAGTTCTTCACTTGGGTCCCTCGAAGCTCTTTTCCCTGTTTATACCCAAGCTGGGGGTGTATGGGAACAGAGGCAGGTAGGCCAACGGCCCCTGGGAAGGACTCTGATGGCCATAGTCAGGGGGAATGTGGAAAGGATGTGGGGAAACAGCCGAGTGCTCAGACTGCCCTGCTGCACGGGACAGGTGGCCTTTGTCTCCCATGGGGACCGACATCTTCACTGGGCTGCCTGCGTGGTACAGCTCAGAATTAATGCGTGAAGCATTCGTCCTGAGTCACCAACAAGGCTTCAGTCATGTATAGCTTACTCTCTTTAAAAACGTGAAAAAAGGCATATTGGATTTTAATCCAAATTTCACAACCTTTTTTTTTTTTTTTTTTTTAAGCTGGGTACTTCAGTTATGCGTTGTTTTCTGTTGCGTGGAGCTTCTCATGGCCTGTGGGTGTTGCGCAGATGGTTTTTCGTAGGTGAGGGCTTGCAGCCCTCTTAGAGGCATTTCTAAACTCTCTGGGAGAGTCCCTCAGCTCCTGCATTAGTTTGTCAGCCGGGGGGTGGGGGGACTGGCCAGGTGACCATGGCTGCTTCTGGGAAGTTCCTGTGTCCTTGGGGAGAGGACAGTGCTGGAGGAAGCGAGCACTGCCTGGCTTTTCCCCCTTGTTCAGTCCCCCTGAGCGAAGGCTCTCGAAGGCTGTGAGATGCACACACGTAGCATCGGCAGCCCCTGCCGCATCTTCCCTGCCCCATCCCTGAGCACTCTCTGGGGCCACAGGGGCTTTGGCACGAGTGGGCTTCGAGGGGGGCTGCGGACTTGCCCCAGTGTGGAGAGCATCTGCCTGCAGCCTGTGCTGGAAGGGGGCTGGGTGTGGGGTGTGCACCCCGGCAAGGAAGGCCTGCCAGAGCTGGGCATGGGCAGACGCCCTGTGTCCAGACAGCACAGTGCATTGTCTGTGGTTTTGGGGTGGAGAGGTTGGGAAATAGGGCCACCGGGCTCCCATTCAGCTCTCCCTTACCTGCCTAGCAGGCCCTAGCTGAGCTACTGGGATCCCCTGGGCTCCTCTTTGCAGCCTGGCTGAATGGAAGAGCCAGACCCAGCAACCACAAGAGGGTTTGCTTTGAAGACGGGCCTGAGAATAACCTCTGAGGTGCTTTTAATTTTTTAAATTTTGATCCGGGAAATCATTCTCTGCTGGAATCCAGGAGCCGAGAGATGTTTCCATGTCCATATGGGAGCGTGGGAGGAAATATTTGCACCCCAGCATGTCTGTTGTGCATGAACTGGGACATCTCAGGGTGGCGGGGCGTCTTATCTCACCAGGCCCAGAGCCTCCAGAGAGGCCCGGGGCGGGAGGGGGATGGGTGCTTACGAGGGCAAGTTTTTGTGTGTGCGCATGCGTGTCATCAGGCCTGGAGAGTCTCTGGATAGACGGGGACGGTGGAGAAGAAGTGCTTGCCCCACTTTGGAAAATACCAGAGTCAGAGGTCAAGGAGGAGACTGCTGATTGGAAGCCCCTGGGCAGACCTGCACGGAAACGAAGGCTCTCGAAGGCTGTGAGACGCACACACGTAGCATCGGCAGCCCCTGCCCCATCTTCCTGCCCCATCCCTGAGCACTCCCCGGGGCCACCGGGGCTTTGGCACCGGCGGGCTTCGAGGGGGGCCGCAGACTTGCCCCAGTGTGGAGAGCGTCTGTCTGTAGCCGAGGGGACTTCGGCACAAAGACCTATGGCCCAAAACGTCAACTCAGGGACCACTTCCCTTGCTCGGGGGGGCTGCTCTTGTACCCACCCGAGTCTGGGCGTTCTGAAGCTCTTCTGTATGCTCCCCCAGCCCATGTGTATTCCAGTTAGCTGCGGTGGAGCTTCGGGTTTCTGCCTGCCTGGCTCAGGAGCAGCTCCTTGCACTCCCAGGGCTGGGCGGATGGGGGCGCTCCAGTGTGGGAGTGATGACAAGTGAGTAACTGAATGACGAGGGCTTTCAAAATGTGGGTTTGCTCTTAGGACTCCTCTACTTCCATCATACAGGATTAGTCTTGCCAGATTCCCCCCGCCTCCTGTGAGTGTACGTATCGAGGCTGATACTCAGCAGCAACTGAGCGCAGATCATGGATTTGAGGCACTGTTGGGATATAAGTGAGAAAGCTGGACCATGACTCTGCTCTCAAGGAGGTTAGCTGATTGACTTCTAGATCGTTTTTAGACTTCTAGACTTCGAGCTGAGCAGTGGGTTGACAGAGTGTCCCGCTGATAAGTTAGAGGCTGCGTTGTCTTGGTGTGAAGTGAGAATCCCTGAGCCACGTGGAGAGTTACGGTGGTCATCCAGGCACAGAGGGCAGCCCTGTCCTGGCACCCAGACTGTTGTAAGTAATCCTTGTCACCGCACCCACTTAGCAGGGGTTGGGAAGAACATAAAGGGCAAGATAAAAAGAAATTTGTGGGGTCGGTGTCGGTACATACACTGTCCCATAGCGGCCACACATCGCAGGGAAAGAGCACAGGTTGGAGGCTTGAAACTCCAGACTGGAGTTCTCCTGTTCGGTAGACGCGTGCTATGTGCCGGTCAGAGATTTTCGAACCTCACTTGTCTGACCTTGAATGATTGTGGAAGTCAGACAAGATGATACATGAAAACCCATGCTGTATTAGCACAGGTTTCTCTTTGAAGTGGTGAGTGGCCTGCATCCATGACCAAGAGCAAGTTCTTTTGCCGCCAGTCGGGAGTATGGGCGCCCTCCCACCCCCACCCTCCCACCTGGTGGTGTTACCTCTTCTCTCTTCCTCTGCTGCTGTCCGAGGGGCCAAACAGGTGACAGGGTAGAGGTTGCAGGACATTAGAGCAGAGAGAGTCCCCTCTGTACACCCCTGTCATCCAAGAGACAGAAGGCCTCACAGACCAATAAAGACCAAGGTCTCAGCTGAGGGCTCGGGAAGGGGTCTTGCTTCCTCTGAAAGAGGGAGCTCCAGCTGGCCTGGGGCCGAGAGGACAGACCCCAGAGGAGGGGTCAGGAGTCACCAGTGTCTGCAGCCAGCATCTCTCACGTGCCCTCTGCCCTGTGTGGTTGGTTGCCGCTCGTCTTGATCCGTGGAGAACCCAAGTCCCAGCCTTCCCTACAGCCGGGGCCGTGAGGCCTATGGGGAGACCCTGCCCTGGGACCTGAGAACCTGAATCTACACCCTGTTCTTTTGCCCATTAGCCCTGCCACCGTCTCGAAGTCTCTTGACCATTTGGGGATCCTCAGTGTCCTCTTTTGTAAACTGGGGAAAATAGGAAAGTTCTGTGCAGCCTGAACAAATCTGAGTTACAACTGATTCCTTTCTCAGCTATTGGCTAGATGGGGTGTGGTTCATGGCGCAGCCTGGGAGAAGGCCAAGAAGCCACTTGATGACTGAACTCAGTCTCACCTTTAAATTCTCATCCTGCTCCGACAAATGGTGTGGTAAAATCCAGGGGCCCGCCATGATGGGAGGTTACCCGTGGTGCTCTGCCGTTCTCCAAAAGAGGATTTTTTTGGTCACTTGGGACCTGCTTCTTCAGTGAAAAAGCATTGCATTAATTTTGCCTTCTCTTCTCAGTATCCAGCGAGCAGCATTGGTGGTTCTGGAAAATTACTATAAAGATTTCACCATCTATAACCCCAATCTCCTAACAGCCTCCAAATTCCGAGCAGCCAAGCACATGGCCGGGCTGAAAGTCTACAATGTAGATGGTACGTGCCTTGAAATGGTGTCTCTGGTTGGTGGGTGTGGGGGGCACAGTTCGGGGCAGCTCTTTAGCTTAAACTTTATGGTCCATTTGGTTCTTCTTCCCCTCAGTGTCCATCTTTATCGTACATTCTGAATTCAGAACAACTCTTCTCTCTTCTCTTCCTTTTTCTTTCTTTTCTTTCTTTTTTTTTTTAAGATTTTATTTATTTATTTGACAGAGAGAGAAAGAGAGACACAGCGAGAGAGGGAACATGAGCAGGGGGAGTGGGAGAGGGAGAAGCAGGCCTCCCGCTGAGCAGGGAGCCAGACATGGGGCTCGATCCCAGGACCCTGGGATCACGACCTGAGCCGAAGGCAGACGCTTAATGACTGAGCCACCCAGGCGCCCCCCTTCCTTCCTTCCTTCCTTCCTTTCTTTCTTTCTTTCTTTCTTTCTTTCTTTCTTTCTTTCTTTCTTTCTTTCTTTCTTTCTTTCTTTCTTTCATTCTTTCTTTCTTTCTTTCTTTCTTTCTTTCTTTCTTTCTTTCTTTCTTTCTTTCTTTCTTTCTTTTTCTTTCTTTCTTCCTCTTTCTTTCAGCAAACATACTTTCAGAAGAATGTTGATTTACAGTCTACACATGTGGGAGGTTCATTTATTTTGGAATTTTCTGATTGAAAACAATAGTGATGTGTGTTTCCTGCCTCCTGCTGGGAACATCTATGGAAAGCTGCTTTTCAAATTTTGGATAAGTTACTCAAAGACTCAGCTCCCCAGATCCATGAAGTCAGTAACTCTCAGTAGTTCAGGCATCTGGTGAGATACTTAAAGAGATTTCTCAGTCCTGGCTAGGACCTGGGGCTGAGTGGGTGGCAGGAGGCCAGAGGCCAGGCTGAGAACGTCAGAGCTGTGTTTCAGACTATCAGATAGTTAAGTGCAAGGAACAAGACACAGTGTCATTTCTTGCTGGATGCCTTGGGTCAGGGCAAGAGCTTTGTGGACCCTCAAAGAGGATCATATTGTTAGCAAGTCAAGTGATTTATGGATGGTGTCAATTTTTCATGGCCATATCCTCCCCATTTTGGCGGGGGTGGACGGGGGTGCACTTTATGAGATGTGCGCTCAGTTGGGGTTCCCAGAGGATTGGTAAATTTCACCTGTGATCTGAAAACTTACTGAAAATTCCCACTAGCGAAACCAAGTCATTAACCAAGTAGTTGATACAGAAGAAAGCATGTGATCTGCCTTGACCTTCTGAAAAGTTAAGGCAATCTGTGGTCAGGGGAACAGAGTGGGGAGTTCTAAGTCTGCATTTCACAAACGGGCCATATTGCAAGTCCTCAAGTATTTTTTTTTTTTTTTATTCAGTGTTGTGACTACCATGACATTCCAGCATGGCTTGTTGTCCTGTGCATAATCAGTGTCTCCTTACCCCTTGACTTTCTTTTTTCTCTGTCCTTGTTGTGCCCATCGCTCTCATTCTCTCTCATTGTCCTGTTGCTGAAATGTGATGCTCCAGCTACCCTTATGGCCAAAGTGAAACTTGATGTAACAGATGGTGAGTAACATCTTCAGCATTCTCTCTGTGTGTTATTTTTGGCCAACATTTTCATTGTCCGGCATTCTTCATCTCCTTCTGCATTCTTTTTCCATTTCCACTGATCAGATTGCGTTTGGGGGAGATTTCCTTTCTCTCATGAGCATAGCGAATGTGAGGCAGGAGTGCTGTTCACCCTTCTGGAAGTTTCTTTTGAGATTGGTGGATATGCTTCTCAGGGGGTGGGTAGACGGTATCGACAGACCGTGGTACTCGTTTCCCGCTGTTTTGCAGTCCCGTAGCATTAAAACTATTCTTCCTCCACTGTCCTTCCCTGAAGGCCCCAGTAACAATGCCACTGGTCAGTCCCGGGCCATGATCGCTGCAGCTGCTCGGCGCAGAGACTCAAGCCACAACGAGTTGTATTATGAAGAGGCAGAGCACGAGCGGCGGGTGAAGAAGCGGAGAGCGAGGTCTGTTGTCCCCCCCGCCCTGACACTTAACACCCTGTCATAGTGGACTTTCTACTTTTTAAATTTTTTTTTTAACCGCTAGAATGAAATCTGAGTGTATAAACGTGAGCCGCTCAAGCCTCAGGAGTGTATCGTGCTCCGTTGTTTCTCATGCACCAGCGTGACCAGGAAGGCTTATTAAAGCGCAGATCTGACGTTCTGGGCCCCACCTGCAAAAATGACTTACTCACCTGGAGTTGGGCCTCAGAATTTGCATGTCTTCCAAATTCCCAGTTGATGCTAAAGCTGTTGGCCCACGGCCCACGCACGCTGGATCGAGGGGGATGCAGCTCTGCTTCTGTAGCACCAGCCCCCTCTCAGTGCGTGCAGAGCCTTTTGTGGCCAGATGTTGAGGAATCTTCGAGCTCTTTTCATCTAAGCCTTCGTTGTAGAGATGGAAGGATTGAAGTGAGTCCACCAAGCTCCTTAGTGGCAGAATTGAAAACAGAGGTCAATCTCCTAGGCCCAGGGCTCCTTCCCCCTCACCCCTGTAGCCCCCCTGCCTTCCTTTCTCCCTCCGCCCCCCCCCCCCCTGCCCCGGCCTCTTGGAGTGACCGCTACGGAGGTGAGCCTTGGGTGAGCTGGTGGCAGGCTGGGACACAGAGGCGGGCAGGAGGCCTCCCAGGCCCTGAATGACCACGCCGTTGTCCAGCCTGGCAGCAGCCACCATCCTGATGACCGTCTCATTGCCCACCCTTCCCCCCCCCAGGCTGGTGGTTGCGGTGGAGGAAGCCTTCATCCACATCCAGCGCCTCCAGGCCGAAGAGCAGCAGAAAGCTCCGGGGGAGGTGATGGACCCGCGGGAGGCGGCGCAGGCCATCTTCCCCTCCATGGCCCGGGCTCTGCAGAAGTACCTGCGCACCACGCGGCAGCAGCATTACCACAGCATGGAGAGCATCCTGCAGCACCTGGCCTTCTGCATCACCAACAGCATGACCCCCAAGGTGCGGCCCGGCACCGAGCTCGGCAGGCCCTGTTTGCAGCTGTGCCCAGGCGCAATGGACTCAAAGGCTCTCTAAAGCCCCGACTCACGAGAATTACCAGTTCCCACTTACTTTATATGATTTTGGTGCGGTTGTTTTTTGAAATTGCTTTTCGAGAGCCTCTAGCTTCAAGCAGAGGAAAGACTTTCACAGTAGAGGTAGCAGTTAGGGGCACTCTGGGCTCTGGAGCTGTGCTGATGCATATTCCAGCCTGGCTCCTCCCCCAATGAGCTGGTCACCTCGGGCACATCGCTATCACTTTCCTGCTCTGTAAATGGCAGCTTGCTGTAATACCTACCTCATTGGGTTGTGGTGGGAACTCAAAGAGTTCATGTGAAGTGCTTAAAACAGTGCCTGCCATATGGTAATGTCTGAGTAAATGGCTGTTCTTAGTGGCAGAAAGGATATCATCACCCCGTTAGGCATTTTGGACTTCATGGGGTTAGTTTTACTTGAGTGGTCTCTTGAATTACAAAATGAGCACACTTTAGGGAGATTGCAGGAAACAGCCATGTAGCTAAGAGAGGGGTGGGGCCGAGGAAGCAGAGTAGAGTGAGGGTTAGCAAATGACCTGTCATCACACAGATGGGGCTTCAGATCCTGGCTCCACCAGTTGATTAGGTTGTGACTTTGTAGAGGTCACGCTATATTTGTTTCCTCTTTTATAAAATGGGGATAATCGTCGCATCTCCCTGATAGGGTTGTTACGTGAAAATTATATTCAGTATGGCAACATGACATGTGGATCACATGGCAGGGAGTAAACGAGCTTGGTGTGTAGTGCACGTGGAGTGGCTTTTGGTATAAGGACCCATGTTCCTGTGCTGCCCTGTACGCGTACAGCATATGGTTGTGTTGTCTCCAGTAACAGCCCTTAGGAGAGCAATACAGAAACACTCACTTGGAATCCGTAAAGGTTTTCATATGCTTTGGCTCACTAATCCCTCTCCTAGAATCAGATACATGCACAAATAATACCAAAGGTGATTTTTGCAAAGTAATCTGGGATAACTCCAAACTGGACATAACTTAAAAATAGAACAGTGGCTTATAAATTAGGGTACATCACCTATTAAAAGTAGAAGAATCTTCGTTAGAATATGAAGTTACAAAAAACAGAATGCAAAAAAGTATGGAGAGCGTGTTGCCAATGAGTACAGTGTATCTGCATGTGTGAAGTGGTAGCTCGTACCACATAGAACAGAAGCCATAGTTTTCCTTTTCTCAAGATCTTTTGGTTTCCTGATTGCTTTCATTTTCGTTCAAAAAAACGTATACTTTTCTGAATTAAAAGTAATTGATACTTTCTCTTTGTATAGAAATCTAGGCACTAAAGAAAAATATAATGGGGGCCCCTGGGTGGTGCAGTCGGTTAAGCATCCTTCTCTTGCTTTCGGCTCAGGTCGTGTTCTCAGGGTCATGGGATTGAGCCCCGTGTCAGGCTCCACGCTCAGCACAGAGTCTGCTTGGGATTCTGTCTCTCCCTCTCCCCTTCTCCCCCATGCTCACACACGTGCTCACTCTCTCAAATAAATAAATGAATCTTTAAACAAAAGCAAAGGAAAAGGAAAATATGTGCAAAGGGAAGTTTCCATTCTCCTCCCCTAAACAGTTCTTGGTGATGAGTTGGTGTGTATGCTTTCAGAGGTGTGTGTGTGTGTGTTTAAAGCAGAAGTGGGAAAAAAGTAAACCACAAACGGGAGTTCATACCACATACACAACTTGGAAACTTACTTTCTTCACTTAAAACTACCTCTGCACTGTTTTTCCCTGTCAGTACTTCCAGATCTCTGTCATACAGATCTAATTCATTCTCTTTAATAGCTGCATCTCATCCCGCTGAATACCATGATTTGTGTAACCAGTGCTTACGACGCACATTTGGATTAACATCTTTCAGTAGTTTAAACCAGGGCTTGGCTGTTTTTGTTAATCAAGTTTTATTGGAACACAACCACACCCTTTTATTTCCATATCATCTATGGCTGCTTTCTCTCTACACAGGCTGAGTTGAGCAGTCATGACAGAATGTGGCTTGTGAAGCTGAAAATGTTTATGTTAGAGAAAAGTTTGCCAACCCCTGGTCTAAACAGTGTTGCAGCAAGTATGTTTTTCACATACATCTTTGTGCATCTGTGCAAGTATTTCCAAAGGAGAAATTTCTGGTAGAGGAACAGCTAGATCAAAGGTATAGAGCCTGCCAAATTGTCCTTCCAAGGGATGTTACTCTTTTAAACACTTCTGCCTCTGGGATACGATTCTGTTTATTTCCCCCACACACTTGACATATTGGGTGTTACCATTCTTTTTACTCATTGCCCACATAAGAGGCAAAAAAAAAAAAAAATTGTTATTTGAATTCATGTTTCTTGAATTATTAATGTGGTAGAGCATCTTTTTGTTATGTTAATTTTCTATTAATATTTATTCTATAAATTATCTTATTAATTTCAGTTTCTCATTGCTGAGTTGTTTCTTTTTCTTATGATTCATAAGAACTATTTTTGTCTTAGAAGTGTGTTTAGCCATGGCTCTGCTTTCTGCCTTAAGATCTTTTCGTTTCCTGGTTGCTTTCATTTTCGTTTAAAAAAATGTATATATGCTCACAGATAGAATATATGCTTACAGAGCAGAAATCATGTAGTTGGCGGCAGCAGTGAGGTGTGGATGGAAGGGGATACCTTGTAGAAACTGGCCTTGACCTGTGTCTAGGACCAGAGTGACAGATCCCAGTATATCCTGTCTGAATCACTGGCTCCCACTTTCTTCCCTTTTCTTACAGCTAAGTCAGCGTATTTATTGATTTAGTGCACACGCCATTGAGCTCCTATTATGTCCAGGCACATTGGAAATTCAGATTTAAAAAATAGTTCCTGCCCGCCAGGGGGTTAAATTCCAGTGCGGGGGACAGACACTCATGTCCACAGCGATCGTTAGGAAAGTAAAGGTCACCCGGGAGTCAGGCCAGTGATGATAAGCACTCAGAGGAGGGTGTGTTAATCTGCCCAGAGGTTCAGGGGGTGGTCTGAGGAGAATTGAAGGCCCAGGAGGAATAATGCATGTGGACGCCATGAGTGGGTGGGGGGTCCAAGACCTCCCACAAGCTAAGCACTGCAGGAGCAGGGGACTTGTGAGAGGGATGGGGATGTGGGCTCTGGCATCCCTCGGACCTGCCCTATGCCCACTTGATCCCACAGGAAATCACCATTGCCCACAATGGTTGGGCTTACCTTGTGCCAGTAGATGGTTAGAGGCAGCCGTGTCATCCTCGCCTCGGCCCTGTGAGGAGCTCTTACTGTCCCCATTTACAGACCGGACAAATGACTTGTCCAAAGCCACATGGCCCGTGAGTGGCGGAGCATGCATTTTTGTGCGTGCGTGCAAGTATATCCTTTTACTTGTTCAGCTTCTGGTTCCCAAGTGCCTCTCTGTGCCCGGCCCTTGCCCTGAGAAGCTTTCGGTGTGGGAGCAAGCAGGCCTACCACAGGTACAAGTGGTGACGTGCTGTGCGGCCGTGCCATGGCCGGGCTAGTGCCTCGGCAATGGCCTCCGGGCAGACAGAGGTGCCAGGCACCCCACCTACCCCCGCCTCTGGTTGGAAGTTGGCAGAGGGGAGTGAGAAAGTCCAAGGAGGCTTCCCTCCCCAACAAGGACTCCATTGGGAGGGTCTGCTGGGAATACGGCCTGATTAGCTCTGTCTTGGTTTGTTGGGAAACATTTTCATCCGCATAAGATGGGTGTGCCCCTGACATCACTGTCCTTAGCACGGGGTATTTCTTCTCTCATGGCCTTTGTCCTCCTTTTTCAGGCCTTTCTAGAACGTTACCTCAGCGCGGGCCCTACCCTGCAGTATGACAAGGAGCGCTGGCTCTCTACGCAGTGGAGACTGGTTAGTGATGAGGCTGTGACTAACGGATTGCGGGATGGAATCGTTTTCGTCCTGAAATGCTTGGACTTCAGCCTCGTGGTCAATGTGAAGAAAATTCCATTCATCATCCTCTCGGAAGAGTTCATAGACCCCAAATCTCACAAATTTGTCCTTCGCCTACAGTCTGAGACATCAGTTTAAAAGTTTTATATTTGTGGCTTTATTACAAAAAAAAAAAAAAAAATATATAGAGATATATATTTATGTATACCGGAAGGGCATCTTTTTTTATTATTATTCTTCATTGCTGACTGAAACTGGCAGATAATAGACCAGTATCCTTTGACCATCCGCACTTTACTTGGAAGGAAGCAGGGGATGTCCACCCTGGCAAAAAGCGACTGATAACATCTGACTTTTGTGGATGGGACTTCTCACGAAGCCGTTCCCTGGCGTTTCTGTGACAGCTGTAAACCAAAGTAGAGCAGGTGGCTCTCGGGAGCCTCGCCTTACGGCAGCTAGTCCCTGCCTTTCGTCCAGGGCCATGCCCTCCTGTTGCTTCTGGCCTGCCCCCTCGTCGACCTCCAGGGGGACGCGTCTTCATTCTGTTCCAGGAAACCAGACACGGCATGTCCACATAGGTGCTTGTGTCCATGAATGTCCAGTACCACATCACCCACAGGAGCCGCGCGCCCTTCCGCAAATGCCTGCCTTCATCTTTGTTCTTTGTTGCCTTAGGTTCTGCTGAGAGAGGTCACAGCAAAAAATGTGCACTAGCAGTTGACAGTTCTAAATGATTTCATTTTGTTTTCTCCCCCAAAGAGAAAACCTACCTGTCCTGTTTCTGACCGTTGGCCTAGGTTTGAGCAGGTGGCCCTTTCCTGACCCTGTGATGGCGCACCCGTCTCCCTCCATCCGCCCTCCCCTGCACGCACCACACCCCCACCTGGCTGGTGGTCCTGGCCAGGAAAGCCCAGCCTGCAGAGCTGCCCCGGACCCGGCTCTCCATGTGTGCTCACGGGCTCTGTGCACTGTCTCCCGTGGGTGCCATGGATTGTTTGCATAGGGAAGCATAGCATGCCAACCAGGTCGAACACAGGGACAGCAAGCCTGCCAGATTGTCCCTTTTCGGCTGCAGCGGGAGCCCCTCCCCTCCCAGTTCTCCTTCCTACTGCTCACAGGGACCCAGGGCGGGGGGGGGGGGGGGGGGGAGCTGACGCCGCGACTCAGGGACTGGCAGGTGCAGCTTGGAGTCTCTGATTTCCCAGGGAGAGAAGTCCTCACAAGCCTTCGTGGCCAAGCTGCCCTGCCAAGGGAGACCAAACAGTGCCCACTGCAGGGACAGCTACTGCTGTCTGGTCCCTGATTTCTGACCACCATCACTGTGCAACTCATGACCTCTGCCACTTACTACCAGGGAAGGGGCTGCTTTGGCGCTGGTGTTGGAAGTCCTTGTAGTTACTGGTAAAGTGGGGGAGAGGGAATGGGTAAGCAGCAGAGCTTGGGGAAAGGAAAGGTAGGGAGCCGATCTTAGGATTCTGGGGGGCGGGTGGCAAAGCTGCGGGGAAGCTCCTGTCTGTGCCTCCATTTGCCTTCCTGTATCCACGGCCAGCCTTTACAGAGTATTCGCCCTTGCTTTTCCCACGGATCGGGGGTAGCCAATCACCTCGCTTTAGACAAGGAGGACCCTGTCAGAATGCTCTTTGTGTTCGCGAGGACCCTTCCTGGTTTGTGCATTCCAAAAGTGGTGCAGTGTTTGTGTATCATTTTTTTAAATCCAAATGGGCTTTGGATATTTTTAATACACCTGTACCTGCAAAAGTAAACAGCACTCTTGACCCAACAGCCTGCAGCTCAAAAAGATGTGTTGGAACAGAAGAAAGGAGGAGTCAGTACCAGTCAGTATGGCGTGGAGCCAAGATGCGCTATGTTAACTACGTGGTTCTGTTTGTGGAAAACACATACCATGTAACCACGGTGCTTTTGTTCTTTTTAGTTTTTGAACTGGACGTTCCTTATGCTGATGATGTCTTTCTCAGGAAATATATTTTGGGAGATAGGGCAAGGGATGGTGAAAGCGTATGGGACTTTGGTTGGGTCACGGTTGTCATGCCCCAGACTAAGTGTCTCAGAGGCTTCTGCAGCAGGAGCCCAGCAGCTGGAGATGCTCTAAGTACTTCCTGTAGGTCATATGCAGAACATTTTGTTCATGAAGACACTATTCATCTGCATTCTAAAATACTGTGCTTCCAAACCCTGTCTTAAGTTACCAGGCCAGAAGGGGTTAAGATAGAGTCATTGCCTTGGTGCCTGTGTTCCTCAGCGGGGTGAAGAAAGGTTTAAATCAAGGAATTTATTTTCTCTCTACCCCCTTCTCTTTCCCCCAGTCTTTGCATAGGAGAATGTCAGACTTTCTGAAATTGTTTCGGTTTTAAGTTGGATATCGATTTTTTTACACTGACTTTGTATTGAGTCCCTTTTGAAAGAATAACAAAATAAAATGCAGGATCTTTGTATAAAGCCTTTGCATTTTCAAGATCTTAATAACTTGAGTTACTGGTGCAGTGGGAACAATGTAAATGGCATTAAAAAGATTTAGGGTTTCAGAAAAAGCTGCATCGCCCGGTCGAACACGATGCGTTTTTATTGCAGTCGTTGGAACCAACAGGCTGTTCTTTTTTAAAAGAGGGTGAGCTGCCCCAGGGCTAGTAAAATATGTGAGACTTCACAGTGGAGGACCAAGATTTCATTTGCCTTAAATGTTTATAGATTTTCTATAACTTTCCAACCTAAGTTATTAAAACGTGAATGTTAAATGTTCGGAGTAGAAGACCCTAGTGACGAGCGCATCCCCTGGTGGTGTTTTAACCGGTGGTTAACTTTGGTTCCTCAGTGTATACTTCTGAAGGTGATGATAATTCTTAATCATCCACGAACTGAATGTTAAAACGTCTGCACGCTTAGAGTTGGAAAGAACTTTAAGGTTTTATAGTTTCCCCATCCTTTGCATTTTCAGTGAAGTCAAAACACATGGTACTTTTGCTAAAGTCCATCCTAAGGTAAGCCCTTGAGAAAATGCTTGAGCAGGGTTTTGCCCGGCTGTCATCATCCCCCTTCTCCCTCTCTGTCCTTCCCTTTCGAATCTACCGACAGATAGAATTCTGTTCAGAAGTGGGTGGAGGTATGTGGCCCCCCAGGGGGGGGGTGTGCGTGCTGCATTGGGGTTCTTTGCTGGAGTTGGAGCGCCTTTTCCGTGGGGAGGTAGTGGCTGGGCTGGTGTTGGCGGGGGGGGGGGGATGAGATGAGGTGTCCCCCTCCCCTTTCACCATACTTGCGGCTTCTCTTCGTTCTGCATGCATGTATTTCGGAAAGGGCTGTAGCTCTGTGGCAAGCCCCCTGCCTGTCGGGATGGCAGACGTCCTTACCCTGCCCCTCCTCATCCCACCCCCCACCTACACCTGTGAAACCAAGAGAATCGGGTCCTTGGTTCGCACTCCCTCTGGCTGGGTCCTGCGAAGTCAGGCTCCTTCAACGGGGACGCATACTTGGTGGTGGGTATGCGTTTCCATATGTGTGTGCATGGCTCTGAGTGTAATTACCCCAGGGACGGCACGTTTGTATGTTAGCGATCTGAACATCTGTGTCGTCTGTCGCTGGTGGGTGTCCTGTCAACAGGTAACGTACGCATGTGTTCGTATGGATGAGTGTCTGTGTTTCTACCCTGTGCCCTATGGTGGAGAGATTTCCTAATGGCCCCCATCTTTTGGAAGGCTGCCAGTTTACTTCTCCCTTGGCTCCTTTATTCCTTTCCCTCCCTGACACTGGCTTCTCCCCAGGAGTAAATGGCTTTAGCATAGAAGAGTCTTCTGGAAAGCTTGACATCCTGCGGGCAATCCATTAGACTCTTTCTTGCCTTAGGACCCTGTGACGTGAAAACAGCAAGAAACAGAAAGGTCAAGCTCTGTGATAATGACTGCTCCAACTTTACTACCCTGGAAGCCTTACTGTATATTTCTCAGCATAACTTAAAAATTGAGCTTCATAAAAAAAAACATAACACTGATGACTAAAAGTAGCACAGAAATGTTAACGTAATATTTAAGTAGTCCAGCAGAGATCCTTCCTGCGATTGTAAAGTGATGTAAGTATTTCTGGTAGCGTTTATGCTTTATGGATCTTGTTACAAGAAAATAATAATAAATCACTACTGTGAATTTACTATGTAACCTTGTGGTCATATTCCATCATAAATAAAAGGTGAATTGTTCTGAAGCCCATATTACAGTTCTTGAATGGTATTCAGTGCCGTAGTGAACCGAGGTAGTTTAGACACTACCGTGAAGTTGCCATTTTGCACTTTATCCAAGTGGATGCTGAGACAATTAGATTGCAGGTCATCGTATTCTGGTCAAATGAGGAAGAGAAGGGTACCAATACACATTTACCCAGCATTGTGTGTTTGGGTGCTGTTCTAGAACGGGAAGTCCTATGAGGCAGGAAGTCCTGTGTTCTCTCAGTTGAACAGGTGAGAAAGATGACAATCAGAGAGGGAGGGACTTGTCCCAGGTCTCATGGCTAGTGAATGGGATTTCAGATCTAGCGTGTGATTCCAGCCCCTCGCTCACTGTACCCTCAGGTGCGATCTGAATGATCTGGCATTTTGGAACGTGGAGAAGGAACGTGAGGACACTTAACCTGGACTCAGAACCTGGGGTGAGGGTTCCTCCGAGGTGGTTGGTGGGGTCCCTTCTGTCCTTGCATTTTGCACCAGAGCTGTGGCCCCTGGGGAACCTCTCCATTGTGCAGGCGGATTTCTCGGGATTTCTAATGGAAAGAACTTGAGAATGCCCCTCCCCCAGAAAACCAGCCCCGCTAGCACCGCCATACCTGCTGATAGACCCAGGGGCTGTGGTTCGGCAGGCATCCTTTGCTTTTGCCCCTCTGGCCCTCCGCCCCACCCCTGCTGGCTTGGGCAGGCGGGCATCTCAGGCCTTGGGCGCAGGAAGCTGGCCAGGGACAGACCTGGCCTCTTCCGAAGCTGAGGAAGCCTCTTGCTGGTGCTCTGCTTCCCCGGTTAGGGTGGGAGAGGGACCACCTGCAGGCCCCGCCCCGGGGGGTCTGGAACGGGGGTCCCCTGGCCTCCCTCCTTGACCTGTGTGTTCTCAGCAAGCACTTGCATCCCATTGTTTCCCCCCACATTTGCCCTCATGAGTCTTAACAGAACAGACATAAAACAGAAGCCTGAAAACACGGACTTCCTCTTCTCCGAGGTCTTTAAAGTTTTGTTCTGTTGTGCACAAACTACCTTTTTCTCTCTGCTGTTCAACTTTCTGTGGAGCACAGGAAAACGGAGATGATACATCTCCGTGATACATGGCTCCTCATTTGGAATCAGGACAGATTTTCAAAGGGTAGAAAAGAAATGATAAAATGAATAAAATAGAATTTGGGGACTCTGTGAATCTCCCTTGCCAGGCCCTGTCCCATTTCTACTTAGACAACCCAAATTGCTTTGTTTCACCTGTAAAATAAATCTCTTGAATGGGTTGTTTTCGAGTCCCCCCAGTAAAACAACAGATCTCTAACATCTGAAGCAGTACCGTGAAAGGTCGCTTCCAATATGACACTAAGAATCTACAATTTATATGTCTCACAGCTTGAAAACACCAATGTTCTGTCTTAGTGGGATAAAAGTACTTACTCATCTTAAGCCTGGGGAACAAATGTGACAAACCCCAGACTTTTATATTGAGTGTCTTTTGGCACTGAAATAATATTTTCATAAAAATATTTGTCTGGTTTTGTGTTCGCTTATATTTATCGGGGCTTTCCCTTGTACCGTGAGCTTTCATTCCAAAGGAGCTGATCATTTAGGAGCTGTTAAGCAACCCTCCCCCCCAAGCCCAAAGCCTAGGAAAGCTTAATCTCTGAGGCCCAGCGACTGTTGCTCAGGGAATTAGCAATGGGACCCAGGCAGCTGGTCTGTGGGTGACAAGTCTAGTTTAACTCGCGTCATAGGGAATTTAGACAGTTGCACATTGTCACCATTCCAGGGCCCAGGTAAAAAGAGGTGGCAGTGGTTTTTCATTTGCCAGTGACCCTCAGTCACAGAAATAATGTTCACTTAATACTTTTCATCATTTTTTTATATTGTTCATTCTTAAGAAGAGAAAAAGGAACGTAAAGTTCCGACGGTGGTGGTAATTCCTTATTTTTATGATGGATTCATTGTGGGTTTTAGTTCTATAGCAGACTCCCCTGAGACCCCTGAATTATGACATTAGCCAAATGTGATTTCCAAGCAGTTGTATATGAACACAACTATTGTGGAGAGTGCAGGACGCTAGCCAGAATGAGGACGGGTGGATACTGGCTCACTGGGGTGGTCAACATAACTCGCCTTGTGAATAACCAGTTCCTCAACCAAGATGCTAGAGAGAAGGCCAAGGACACCTGAATCAGGTCTTCTTCAGAGAAGTTCATTGGACAATTGCTTTTGTGTTGAAAGAACTTTTCACTTCTGGAATTCGAACCCAGAAAGTTCAGTGACAAAACCATCTGTCTCTATCTGAAGGAATCAGCACTGTTTGTGCAAAGATGTGACCAGAGGTCTTTGTGGTCTTTCTTAGTAGTTAATAGTGCACTTTGTAACCAGGAGGGGCAGTTCTGCTCATCAGTCTCTACTTGGGTCACCATATATGTAGGAGAAAGTCTTGAGTATGAATACCGGCATAAGTGGGTAGCAGGCTCTGTTGAGGCATTTCAAACATCTAAATGAATGACTCTACCAGCAACCATCTGCGCAAGCACGTTTACGAACGTTCATAAGGTGTTTGCTATGAAATGTCTTCTCATAGTAATGTCCATCAATAACAATGTTAGCATTTACAACTGTGTACCTGGCAGCCAAGTTACTTGGTCCCCTTTTGGGTCTCCCGTCCCAATTAACTGTAAAACATTTTACATGTTACATTTTTTTTATACTGTACAACTTGAAAAATAAACTGAAATCCCAATTTGTATTTTGCTTCTTTTTTCATGTGATTATTTCAATCTAAAAAGTTGTTTGCTTTTTTTAGGGAGTGTTTTCACTCTTGCATAATTTTGATACCCGCTTAAAGGCGTCAAGGGGCGCCTGGGGCGGGGGCGCTGAGTCAGTTAAGCGTTTGACTCTTGGTTTCCGCTCGTGTCACGATCTCAGGGTCCTGGGATTGAGACCTGCGCTGGGCTCCGCGTTTAGCAGGGAGTCCGCTTGAGATTCTCTCTCCCTCTGCCCCTCCCATTCATTCTGTCTCTCCCTCTCTCTCAAGTAAATAAATAAATCTTTTTTTAAAAAAAGACAATCTGTCAAGTTTCTATGAAAACCAAGATAATTATGATAGATTGAATCAGAAAGTGGATTGTCATTGTAACGAAAACTGTTGTAATCATTTTATGCTGAGAGAGTGCTCAGAGAATGTTTTAAATGAATAGATTACTGAAAATTAAAATCTTAGGCTCTACAAATGAAGATGAAATGGGCTTTTTGAATAAATCAGCAAGTGAATAAAGATCTTTGAATCAAGTAAGGAGGAAGAAAAGTGTCAGACCCTGGATTTGTGAGGGGGTGAATACTGGATTGTTTTGGTGAGTGGCTTGGTAATTCAATTTTAAGTATTGACTGATTTAAAAATAGTTTTTAAATCAGTTTTAAATAGTTTTAAAAGTTCAAGTTCCTTTTATTTAAAAGGAACTTGAAAATATGACAAATGTTGGGGTGGGATGGGGGCATCTGGCTGGCTCAGTCGGTACAGCATGCGACTCTTGACCTCAGGGTCATGAGTTCAAGCCCTACATTGGGTGTGGAGCCTACTTAAAATTAATTTAAAAAAAAGAAATGTTGGAACTTGCCTTCTGCTACACTCAGCTGTTTTTTTTTTTTTTTTTTATCTGATAGCACATAAATTCTTACCTATTCCATGGACAGGGGCTAGAGAAAGCAATTGATTTGAAGATTCATTGTATAGATTATCGATAAGCTCTGTTTCTCTGCGCTATCAGCCACGATGTGCATTATTTATATCTGCACAAGCAAACCCTGCCAGGGAAAAGATTCGAGTAATCTGCAGACATAAACCAAGGACTCTTCTCTTTCTCATTCATTACCTGTCATACAGCTAGAGTGTTTTGGAAGAGTTTTCAGATGACCAGATGATAAACGATCAGATTATGGAAGTGGAGTGAGGATAGCAGGATGGCACCAATTAAGTCACTGCCTGCCCACCCAGTGCCGGAGATGGGCCCCCAGCAGTGGCATAGCAAAGGCCAGTATCCCAGCTTCCAGAGAGACTTGGCAATTCTCTGTTGGTGTCAACATGTCATGCAAGCATCTTCTAGTCCTTCAGGTTAATGTGGACATGGAAAAAAAAAAAAACAACTACTCGACCTTTGGGCGTGTTCTCTGTACTGACATCTGAATGTGTAACAGGTTCTGAGAAGTGGTAATAGTTCAGACAAAATGATGATGACCCAAGGTACTTTAAACATTTTCCTTTTCTAGATGTTTGCTCAGGCCTCTGATCTCACCCACTCATTTTGCCTTCTGGAATCCGTATGTGCTAAACAAGCCTCAAGCGTCCATTGATTGAATGTTTGAGTGAATGAGGGAATGAGGATGGCACACTCAGCACGGAAGCTACCACCTATAACCTAAACATATATGATTATTTTAGGGGGGATCACTGAGATTTTGCAGGATCCTAGGGTTAATAGTAAGAATTGTAGCATCACTACTCTGAAGAGTTCAGATTGGTAAAATACCAGATTAATTCAAAAGAGGTTTTTAATTTACCTTGCAAACATTTGGGCCTGCAGATACATTAAAATAAATGAACGGGCACTTGGGTGGCTGTGGGCATTCTGTTCCCAGAGAGTAGGGCCTGGGACTTCTGCTGTCATCCCCATGCTGCTTTGCTTGCCATCATGATGCCTATATTTCTAGGAGACTTTGCTGACCTGAGTAAAGAACACCGCGCATTAGAAACTCCTCACAGAGCCAAAGAGATTTTGTGCTCCATTTTTTTTTTTTATAATCCCAATTTGCTGTTCTAAGCAGATCTGAACAGATGATACCATTGCCAAAAAGGTCCTGATTGACTTATGATAATCACTAGCATATTTTTAATGGTACTAATAGCTTTTGATAATCACTAGCACATTCTTAATGGTATTAATCACTGTTAAATTTGCTTTACATAGGGCTTAGTGAGTACTTAGTCAAACAAGTTTACTAAG